GATCTCTTTCCTCTTCCGGGCTTGCCATGGCCTGGTTTTTTGCCAGGACTCTTGATGGTGTTGACCCGCTCAGTGTTGAACTTTGACAGACGCTCCACAGAGCAGACGACTGAAAGACAAACACAGAAACACTCTCAACATTTGCATCCCTACTAGTAATCACCTGACAGCGCTTAACCTTGCAAAACACTTACTTCTGGCGATGACGCCCAAATCTGCCTCATTGGTAGGCATGGTTACTCTAGGCACAGTCACGCTTCCAGTGACATTTGCAGGTTGACTTGATGTAAAATTTGCAGGTAGACTTGCAGTTACATTTGCAGGCACACTTGCAGTAGCATTTGCAGGTAGACTTGCAGTTACATTTGCAGGTAGACTTGAAGTTACATTAGCAGGCACGCTTGCAGTGACATTTTCAGGTGCAGGAGTGACATTTCTACGCACACGATCGTCTCTACCACCACTTCCTCCAGGATTTCCCCCCAGACCTGCCTGGAGTAGGGACTTCAGCTCGCATTTACCCACAGTCCGTCCTTCACTTACACTGGACACCAGAAGAACCAGTGCCAATGCAGCCAACATCTTCACTGACAGATTACTCTTCATCTTTGATATCTGGAGATTGGATACAGAGCAAAAGATTAATTCAATGAAAAGACCCAAATATTTTACTGTGCCAATAAAGTTCTTTCAGTGAAAGGACCTAACCCTATACCAGAACCTAAACCTAACAAAATGACATCGATAAACACGTAAAAAAATATGACAAAAATGCTAATCGATTTAATGTCAATTGACTACCTATAGATGTCAAAATGACATTAAACTGACGTTTAACATTGGCATCAAAAATCTATCAAAAAACGATACTGTAATCAATTTTTAAACACAAAAAGATCAGTTTGATGTTGTTTTGAAACCTAGGTAGTTTATGTGCATTTTAGGGATCCAAAATCCAGTGTAAATATGCAACTGAAGCTTTCAGATGAATAAAACTTTTCTTATAATATATTTTTTGTATATTTTGGTGGTCAAAAGGGCGTCAATGTGTGGATGTTAAGGTTTTGACATCAAATCGTTGGCATTTTTGACGTTTTTTTTTTTTTTTTTTCAATCACCAATAGCAACATTCTGAGTTCGCTTTCTGAAAAAAATATTTTTATAACCGCACATTTGGCTTTTCACCAGGGCTGTACACTTAGAAATACACCTTTGTACCATTTTTTACTTTTTTACATCCTTGTAGTACACTGAAATTGATCAAATATTTCTTGAACTTAAACGCCTAAGCTTAATTGATAATTTTGCTGGAAAAATGACAGAATACCATGAAGGAAACCAACAATCGCCAATAGCAAGTTTTAAAAATTGACTTTCAAAAAAAAATATACCAAACACCAAACTTTTGGCTTTTCACCAGGGCTGTACACTGAAAAATACACCTTTGTACCTCTTTTTATTTTACTTCCACCAAAATGAACCACTACATTGACTTTAAAAACGAATTGGACTTGCAAAAAAACTGTAATAAATAAGTTTTCTTTAATTATTTAAGGTATAACACGTGGCAGTAGTTTTTAAAATTGACACGCTTTAATTTAACAATTTAATTTAGCAAAATTCTGAGTTAAATTTCAGAAAATTTATTCCAATAACCACACCTTTGGCTTTTCACCAGGGCTGTACACAGGGTGAATATACCTTTGTACCAATTTAAAAAAACATTTAACATCATGGTACACTGAAAATATTACTCAGTTGATCAACTACTTCATCAAACTATTTCGTGAAGTTAAACTCTTAAAATAAATTACAATTTTGCTGTAAAAAAATGACAGAACACCATGAAGGAAAACAACAATAGCAACTTTCTAAAATTCACTTTTAGAAAAAATATACCAAGCACCAAACTTTTTGGCTTTTCACCAGGGCTGTACACTGAAAAAAACACCTCTGTACTATTTTTTATTTTACTACCACCAAAATGAACCAATACATTGACTTAAAAAATAACTAGCAAAAAAACTGTAATAAATAAGTTCTCTTCAATTCTTTTGGGTTTAACATCTTGAAGTACTTTTTAAAATTGTGACGCTTTAATTTAACAATTTTATTTAGTAGCATTTAGAAAAAATTCGCTTTTAGAAAAGATATTCCAATAACCACACCTGTGGCTTTTCACCAGGGTTGTATACTTAAAAATACACCCTTGTACCATTTTTTATTTTACTACCACCAAAATTAACCACCACATTGACTTTAAAAAATAACTTTGACTAGTGAAAAATGAATAATTAAGTTCTCTTTAATTATTTTAGTTATAACACGTTGAAGTAGTTTTTAAAAATAGTCACATTTTAATTTTAACAATTTAATTTAGCAACATTCTGAGTTCGCTTTCAGAATAAATATTCCAATATCCACAGCTTTGGCTTTTCACCAGGGCTGTACACATAGAAATACACCTTTGTACCAATTTCTTTAATTTGCAACCACCAAAATTAACAACTTGATCGACTTCTAAAAATTGCTTTGACTTGTTACACATAAAGAAATGAGCTAAAAGCTGTAATAAATTCTCTTGAATTCTTGTAGGTATTACACATTGAACTTGGTTTTAAAATGGTCACGTTTTAATGAACTTTTTTGATGTGTATTACAGATTTATGAGGCGAAAAAAAAGGATATATGGTAACTTCTATGACATTGATTGCAATGTAATGTTTTTAAAAGTCATAAAAGTCTTATAACCTTCAGAAACGCTTCAGGATTTCAATCAGTGACCTATAAATGGTTAAGATGCTAATGTGCACATTGTGAAAGCAGATAATGTACCAAGAAGGTACTATTTTTTGAAGCCACAATAGATTATTGAAACCTATTTATACATTATTACAAGTTGCAAATTTTGGCCAAAATTACAAAGCTATGCATTAGTTTATTTAGCCAAACAAATACATATGCAATATCAAAAATGAACAGAGTTGATTTTACCAGATGTCAATCTAGTCTTCTTTACTCTTGCTTTGCGCTGCTGCTTGTTTCCAGGCTCCGCTGTGTGTTGAATGTCTGAACATCGGGATTTTTATAGTAAACGGTGTTGTGATGACCTCACCGGATGTTACTTACCAAACCTGTTGATAAAGCATCTCATGACCAATAGGCAGGTATTGCAACATGCAGCTTTGTTTGCTGTGCAACTTTACAGAAGTGATCAGATGGAGGTGCTTCGTCACTTTTTCCTCTTGTCACTCAAGCTATTTTTAATCTGTGTAATTATAAGTTTGTGTTCCTGAAATTCCCAAGTACATGAGGGAATTTTAAATATTTGTTGTTACAAACTTTATCACTATACACCCTTTTTCAATGCAGATGTTCAAATATTTTTAAAGTAAATGTTTAGTTTTGGCACTATAGCACAATTTTTGTATGTTTTGTAATTAAAATTATATATGTAATACATCCACATAGCGTTATATATTTTTTGACATTTTAGTTTAAATTCCTTTTAACCTGTATTTGACTTAGCTTTACCCCATCCACATGCAGCCCATATTTTTTTGTTGGACTTTATTTACTTCAAAATGTATGTAAATGTTAAGAATACTTGTTATTCTTAAACTACTGCCTATAATTGACTAACTATCCAAACTATCCAAACAATCTACTGAATAATTGATTGACTAACAACAACATGACAATGTT